GTGGGGGGGGAGGTTGGCCGGGCGAGGAATGGAATGGAAGAACTCATCGAATGGAATGAATGGAATCAAATGGAAACGATTGAAATGGTGGTCAACAATGGCAATGATTGGCATCAATGGCAACGATCATCAACAATGCCAATCATTATGTACGATGTCAATCATCATGTACGATGGCAATCATCATCATCATCAACCATGGCAATGACCTGCATGGACCCCCGTGGTTACTATCCATGCAACACAGCGCACACTCGCAGAGAACGCAGGCGTCAACGTGGAGAAGATCCACATCTTCACCCCGCGCGGCGTGGCACGCAACAACGCCAAGGACTTTACCTCACAGGACTGGACTGGCGCCATGTCGTACGAGCTCGATTCCAGCGGCAAGCTGGTGCTAAAGCAGGCTGTGGGATCGGCCTACCGCAACGACGAGAGCCAGGAGACGCTGCTGGGGAGCCACGGCCTGTTCCACGGCAACACCATCCGCGTCCTCTACCCGTTCTCGGGCAATGTCTTTGTCAAGACCCTCACCGGCAAGACCATCACCCTCTCTGTCAACTCGTTCTACCCCATCTCTGACATCAAGGATATGCTCCATGACAAGGAGGGCATCCCGCCGGACCAACAGCGCCTCATCTTTGCCGGCAAGCAGGTCGAGGACGACCGGACCCTCATGTCGTACGCCATCTGCAAGGAGTCGACCTTGCATCTCGTCCTCCGCCTCCGCGGCGGCATGATGCACATCTCGTCCGGCAGGCTCGGCACCACCGGCATGGCTCCGATCTTTGGCTCGCATTCCTCGCCTCAAGTCCCTGACGCCATCACCGCTGCGCTCGAGCGGTACATGCGCTCGACCGCCGCGCCCGACGCGCCGGCAACAACCACGACGACCACTGCCTCTGCGCCGCCGCCGTCGTCCGACGCCACGTCATCGTCCGCCGCCTCGTCGTCCGCACCGCCGTCGGTCGCCGACCCCAACTGCATGATTTTGCCCGGTGCCACTACATGCGCCATCAACGCCGTCGCCGTCGAGCTCACCATGGACGACGTCGACTCCATCGCCGCCGCCGAACTTGCCGCAGGCAACGAGCCGTTTTCGTCCTCGTCTGACCTCCTCAAGATTGACGTCTACCTGCCCGACCGCACCCTGGTCTCGGTTGCGCTCACCAAGGCCACCACCACTGCCGAGCTCACCGCCTTTCTCACGGCCGCTCAACCCGAGTCGTTTGCGACCCCGACCTTGTCGGCGGTGTGGTCGGGACCACCCCGATCGACGACATGGACGACGCTGCCATGCAGGACGAGATCGACCGCCTGCGCTCGTTCCTCGACTAGCTCCGCTCTCCCGCTTCTGTTTGGGTTTTTTCTCACATCGCCTTGGTGTGGTGGCCCGTCGCCACAACCGCGCCAGTCTCGGCGTTGAGGATGTCGACCTGCGTAAAGCCTAGCCGCCGCCCGTACTTGTACACCTTGCCCTTGAGGACCACCTTGCTCCCGACCTTGGCCGCCGATGCAAACGAGGTGTTGAGCGCGACAGACACACCGCCGCGTGTCGGATCCTTAGCGAGCAGCGCCAGCGTGCCCACAATGTCCACCAGCGTGCAGATCGCCCCGCCGTGTAGCGTTCCATACGAGTTCTGTAGCCCCTTGTCGACCTCAAGCGTACACGTCACCACGCCATCGCCCAGCTCCGTAATGGTGAGCCCTGCAAAGGCCGAGTCAAATCGGCCGGGGATGTGCGTAAACGCGCCGAGCAGCGCGTTGGCGCCCCACACCTTGGCCTTCTGGATGAACCCCATCGGCTGCTGCTCGCCGTCCCCATCCATCGCCTCCTCACCCTTGTCATCGACCTGGTATTTGACCTCCTTTTTCCCCCCACTCTCCAAATCCGCACTGCATGCGCCCACCCCGCCTGACACCGCCCGCACCTGCCCGCCACCCCTCCGCCCGCCATGCGCAGCAGCAGGTCCCTGCAGCACACGCCAGCTCCACAGCCCCCCGCTCGCGCCGCTCGCGACGCTACATGCCGCTCCCGCCGCTTGCCGAACAATGCTCCGCACCGCAAACATGCTCTCGTCGTCCAAATCTTCAGAGTCGTGTGGCTCCGCCGCCGCCGATCCGACAGCTCGGCGCCTTGGCCGCAAACCCATCGCCTGCCATTGTGCTCGTTCATGTATCGTGTGTGCTACCGGTGACCAGAGTCGGAGAGTGGCGATGCGTCTGTCGATGAGAGGTCGGAGGACACATGCTCGGTAGAGAGGAGCGCACGCGAGCGTGCAACCTGGAGCGCTCCGCTTGTCTGTCTGAACAACTCGTCCAGATCGGCGGTGCCCGAGCCCGAGTCGAGATGTGACGACTCAAAGCCGATGGTGACCGTCGACTCGAGCGACGATGAGAGCTCTGCTGCAGTTGCTGCTGTTTGCGCCATGGCCATCTCTTCCTCGGCCTTTCGCGACAGCAGGTACCTCCTGTACTCGTCGCGCCTGCGGACGTACCGCCGCCACGCCACAAACGCCACCACGCCCGCGCAGCAGCAGCAGGTGCCGGCAACTGCCAAGCCGACAAGAAAGAAGAAAAGATCGTAGTCAACTCCGAAGACCGTCTGCGACGATGAGACCGACGCAGCGCTATTCGGGGCCGGGAGGAGGACCAAGACTCCGGCGCTGGTCGCCGCTGCCGTGCTCGTCACGCCCGTTGAATCCGTTGCCACTGCCGCCACCCGCACGCTCGCCGGATGCAGCTCGGGAGGCAGTATCACGCCTTCAAGCACAGCCGCTGCGCTGTCGCAACTCACGACGCTGCCGAGCAGCGCCAGAACCTGCGTCGTCTCGCCGGCGTCGACGAGTGTCAGCGCAATCGTCGCGCAAGATCCGGTGCCGCCGCTCACCGCGCCACCGGCCAGCGCCACACTGAGGCTTGCGTTGACATCCAGGAACTCGGGCGCAAAGCGGAGGGCGGCGCTGTCGACGCTCGGTCGCGCCGCAACGTCGACTGCCACTCCGGCAATGCCGGCAGCCAGCGAGCCCACCCCGACGCTGTCGATCACATCAGCGTAGGCATACACCCGCCCAACGTGGCCTGCTTCCATCACTACTGCCGAATCCGGTCCCGACGAGACAACCGTCGCTACTGATGACCAGACCGCCTCGCGTGCCAGATAAAACGTTGCCACGCCCGCGTACGGGAGCGTGCCAAGCGAGGTTGTGTGGCTCAGAGCCAGCGTGGAGCTCTCAGTGAGCGCCACGGGTGTCGCTGTTACGCTCGACAACGCACGAGGCGAGATTTCAACCCAGGCCCCCGGCGTGCATGCCGCACCAGCCACGCCGGATGCGTCAATCGCAACAATGCAGATCGTCACGTTTGTCGGAAGAGTCAGGAGCGACAGCTCGACGGCAGCATTAGCCGCCACCGGACCAGCAGCAGCAATGAGGGTGACCGAGACCGGCAGCATGACTCCATCTGCGTCCACAGTCAATCGGTAGGGCGGCACACCGCCAGTGAGCGCAAACTCCACCGACAAGCTCGAAGTGTGGGTGGCTGCTCTCGGCGCAATCGTCAGCGTCGTGATGGTCGGCACCGGCATGATCCAGAACGTATGCGTGGCATCTGGCGTGTCAACACCCGAGTCGTCTGATCCAAAGCACCGCAGCGCGACGAGCGTCGCGGTGTCGGCCGGCGCCAGCCAGCTCGCCAACATAGTCAGCGATGGAATGGTAATCTGGCTTGCGGCCGTGGTTGCTGACGCCAGCACTGCACCATCCGAGACCCGCGTCAGTGCGTAGCCAATGTTGTACGGCGGAACGCCGCTTGTGGTATCGATGCTGCAGAGTGCAGCACTCGCATTGCCTGAGACTGTGATGTTCCGCGCCACAATGGCAAGCGGAAGCAGCGCCGGTGGCGGCCGGACCACCAGCGTGGCGTTGCCGACCTCAGTGGCAACCACGGTGACGTTAGCCGAGTCCGTGGTTGTGACGCGGATATCAAACGCCCCAGCGGTAGCGAGTGGGATGGCAAACGACGTCGAGAACGCGTGGTTCGGCAGTGCGTCGGGAGTCGACACTGTCTGCGCCGCCGAGAATGTAGCGGCGCCGCTACTCAGGTCAATCAGTTCGACCAGGAGCGCGTAGTCGGGTCCGGTTCCGCCGCCGGGTGTCTTGAATACGACAACCGACGCATTGACGCCGGCAGAGATCGCTGCGGGGGCGTAGATGGCAAAGGATACGTTGGCGCGCGGGACTACCAGGACTTGTTGCGCCGAGTTGATGCCGGTCGCCACGCCGCCCTCGGCGTTGCGGACAACCAGCGAGACGCTGTACGCCTTGGCGGCCGATCCGTCCAAGTCTGCCTCGACAAGAAGCGCGGTGGCGTCGGAGACAGGGCCGCCGACACTGCTGCGCAGCGCCAGCGTCCGCGGGTTAGCGCCCGGCGCGGGATCGCCCGGGCCCGACCAGGCGCCGAGCAGCCAGCGAAGAGTGTACGGCGGTGAACCGCCTGAGAGGCCGGTCGCCTGCAACGCGACCGACCCCGAGACTGTGACAACAAGTGGGCTGGCCACAACCGAGGCCGAAGGCTTGGGCAGGACATGGAGCCGGTTGACGGCGGCGTACGAGGGATGATCCTCGGACGACGAGACCTCGATCTCGCCATTGACGCAGCGAAAGAAGGTAGCATTGAGCTCAGCGTAACCAGCTGTGGAGAAGAGCCAATTAGTCGAGAGCGATGGTTCTGTGGCCGACGCAAAGTCTTGCTCCGAGGCGAGGACGGGCAGCGAGGCGGCGAGGATGAGGCGACAGGTACCATCGTTGAGAGCGATTGATGAGCAATGAGTGGTATTTGGCGAGACGATGGGCGAGCAATCGATGCCAAAGACAGACGACGAGATGATGAGCGAGTCGCCTGCGGTGATGGCGTATGTCTGCGGTCCGTCGGAGGCAGCCACGGGAAAGGATCCCGTCGGTTCGTAGACGAACAAGTGCGGTGAGGCGAGGCCGGCGACGGCTGCCTGAGGGGGCAGGGCGAGGGAGACGAGAGAGGCTATGATAGCCATCACCAGCCACGCCATACCATGGACCATTCTCTGCTGTATCCCGGCTCGCACTGTGGTATGCTCGCGTGCGGTGTGGGGTCGTTGGGGGGGGGGGGGGGGAGGGGGGACGGTGCGGGTGTGGGTGGGCAGCGGCATGACAAGGCGCCATTCGGGCGGACGGAACCACCGCGAACGATAACTGTCTCAACAAACCCATCAATTACATCCACACACGATAAACTCATCAACAAACCCATCAATTACACCCACACACGATAAACTCATCAACAAACCCATCAATTACACCCACACACGATAAACTCATCAACAAACCCATCAATTACACCCACACACGATAAACTCATCAACAAACCCATCAATTACACCCACACACGATAAACTCATCAACAAAAACTAGCTATAAGGCGAAGGGCGGAGAAAACTCATCAACAAACCCATCAATTACACCCACACACGATAAACTCATCAACAAACGCATCAATTACACCCACACACGATAAACTCATCAACAAACCCATCAATTACACCCACACACGATAAACTCATCAACAAACCCATCAATTACACCCACACACGATAAACTCATCAACAAACCCATCAATTACACCCACACACGATAAACTCATCAACAAACCCATCAATTACACCCACACACGATAAACTCATCAACAAACCCATCAATTACACCCACACACGATAAACTCATCAACAAACCCATCAATTACACCCACACACGATAAACTCATCAACAAACCCATCAATTACACCCACACACGATAAACTCATCAACAAACCCATCAATTACACCCACACACGATAAACTCATCAACAAACCCATCAATTACACCCACACACGATAAACTCATCAACAAACCCATCAATTACACCCACACACGATAAACTCATCAACAAACCCATCAATTACACCCACACACGATAAACTCATCAACAAACCCATCAATTACACCCCTCTCCCCCCACACACACCAACCTCCCCTATGACCCACCTCGACGACTCCCCCACAGCCACGGCTGAGCTGCTAACCGGAATCAAGGCCGTGGTCTTCGACTGTGACGGAGTCATCTGGCGCGGAACCAAGGTCATTCCGGGCGCCCTTGCCACCGTCGCCGCCCTCGAGGCCGCAGGCGTCGCCGTCTACTTTGTCACCAACAACTCGACCCGATCGCGGGCCATGTACATGGACAAGTTTGCTGCCAAGGGCATGCCGCACGTGCGCAAGGACCAGATCCTCTCGGCCTCGTATGCTGCCGCCGCATATCTGCAGTCCATCGACTTTGATGGTGCTGTCTACGTCGTTGGCGAGGTCGGCATTCTCGAGGAGCTGGAAGAGGCTGGCATCCCAGCCATCGGCGGGCCCGACCAGCCGCCCATGACTCTCGCCGAGCTCGAGGTCTACAAGCCGGATCCTTCGGTATCTGCCGTAGTCGTCGGTGCAGACACTGGGTTCTCGTACACAAAGGCCGCCATCGCCCAGCAGTACCTCCTTGCCCGCCCGGACAACCTGTTCATTGCCACAAACCCGGACACCTCGTTCCCCACCCAGGGCAACTTTCTGCCGGGTGCAGGCATGGCCGTCGCTGCTGTCGAGGCATGTGCCTCGCGCAAGGCCACCATCGTCGGCAAGCCGGCGCCCTTCCTCCTCCATGGTGTCCTCGATCGCCTCGCCGCATCCTCCTCCGAGCCCGTCGACCGCTCCTCGGTGCTCATGGTTGGCGACCGCCTCGACACCGACATCCTCTTCGGCTCTACCGGTGGCATCCGCACTCTGCTGGTCTTTACCGGCGTCGTCTCGCCCGACGAGTATGACGCGGCGGTTGCCTCGGGCGCAGATCACATGCCCGACTACACCGCCTCGTCCATCGCTGTCCTCGCCGATGCTCTCGCCGCCGCAGCTGCTGCTGCCTCATCCTGAGCCCCACATACGGTGCCAGGTCTCGAGCGCTGCCGCGTATAGCGAGAGCGCACGCGCTCCGAGAACAGGCGCAAACGCAGACGATGACGCCACAGAGCCTGGCGATGTCGCCACGTACTCTTCCTCGGGATCCGCAGACGAGGCAGAGAAAGACCCGTACTCGCCGCCACCACGGAGCGGCGAGACCCGCGGCTGGACAGGGAGCTCCGTAAAGAGCGCATCGAGCGCAGTCCGAAGCTGCGGCCGCTCCGCCACCGCGCTCGCCACCGCAGCCAGATCACTTGCCTCAGCTCCAGCAAGAACATACACCACCGCAGCCTCCGCCCCGCCCTCCACCTCATCGCGGTACCTGTACTGCCGCTCGTCGGTCACCGTCAGCACGCCCGGCAGCGCTCCGCCAATCTGCACCACCACTCCCGCAAGCTCCTCTGCCGTCCCGTACCACGACCGGCTCCGGGGCGCACTCAGTGCTCCCAGCGCCGCCACTCGAGTCCGAAAGTTGGCAGCCTCGCCGCCTGCAGTTGCCAGTGCCCGCAGCGCAGCGCCCACCCACTCACTGCCGTCGCTTCCGGCGCCAACCTCGCCACACCATGCGCCAAGCGCAAGCGCAAGCCCGTCACACGCAGACCACACCGCCTTGTCCGGCGCCGCCCGCTCACCACGGACCACATCCACAAGCGCTCCCGCAGCTCGAGCACACACGTCACGCTGCCCGCTTCGAACCAGCGCGCACACCACTGCGCCCAGCGACCGCGCCGTCGCCGCCGTGTGCTTTCCGCGCACTCCCAGAAGCGCCAACAACGCGTCGGCGCACCGGTCGGCCCCGTCGCTCCCTCCCTCGCCGGCTTCGCTCCGCATAGCCACAGAGCCTGCCGATGCCGCTGCCTTGACCAGCGCTGATGCCAGTGGCTCACGCACCCCGCCGCTGCTCCCCACCGCCGCCACCAGTCGCTCCAACGCGTCGCCGAGAACCTGCAAGCCGTTCGCCACTGCAAACGGGGTGTCGACCGCAAGCCCCACCAGTCGCGCAGCCTCGCCCCGCGCCACAACAGCCTTGGAGCCCGCAACAAGGTCGGCCGCGAGCTCAAACACCGCAGCCTCCACCAACGGCGCCAGCGCCTCATCCTCGCTCGCACCCAGAACCGGAAGCATGCCCGCCAGCGCAGAAATGCTGTGTGCGCGCACCGCGTCGACCGGATCGGCCATCCCTACCCTGAGCACCATCCGCTCTAGCGTGGCAAAGACCTCACCCGCTGTTGTCCCGCTTCGCCCAGCCAAAATGCTCCCGCAGCCCGAGCCGAGCTCGGCCACAAAGTGGGCAACCGCGGTCCGGGTCGCGACCGGTACCTCCAGGAGCTTGTCGCCGGCCATCGGCTCAAGCAGCGGCAAGTACGCCGCGTAGGCCACGACCGGGTAGCCGCGCGCCATCCAGCGGAGGACGTCAAAGACCTTGGCCGCCGGATCGCGCTCTGGTGCCGCCACAGCGGCGGCCACCAGCGTGTGCAGCGGCGCCTCGGCAGCCGCACCCAGAGTCAGCCACACCGCCACGTCGTCAAGCGGTGATGCCGTCCGCAGGCTTGCTGCCACGCACGAGAGCGCGAGCTGCTGTGTCGAAGGCGCCACGCCAGCCTGAGTCTGAGGCCGCAGCGCGAGCTGCAGCGCTGCTGACGCCAGCTCTACTACAATGCCGCCGTCCGACGCCAGCCGGGTATAGTTGCAGTTGATGAGCAGGATGCAGAGCGCCTTGAGCCCAGTGTCGACTACCGGTGCCGCCAGCTGCGGTGTCTGCGAGATGAGCCGCAGCAAGCCGGCATGCGTGTGCCACAGAATGTCGCCGATTGTGTGCGCAAACGAGGTGTAGGACCGCGAGCCGGTCGTCGACCGAGTTCCGGCCGCCAGCGTCTTCTTCGAGCCCTCCAGCAACGCCAGGAGCGCGTCCATGGCCTTGCCCGGGACCCCGCTCCCATCGTCATCCTCCACCGCCAAACTCAGCAGGCTGGAGCCGCTTCCGCTTGGGAGAAAGACGTCCCATCGCTGCGCAAGCGGCACTGGCAGTGCCTTGCCCAGCGAAACTAGCAGCCCAAGTGCATTGATTCGGACCCGCGGCGGGCCGTGGAAGACGCCGTCGCGGGTGACGCCGATCAGGACCTCGCAAAGCTCGGGCATGCTCGCGGCCTCGCGAGTCTCGGCCGCCACCACCGCCAGCGCCCGATATGCCCCTGCCAGTACCCGCGGCGTCTCCAGCGCCTTGATCACGGCGGCCAGCCCGCCGCAGACCCTGACGCGAATGCCTGGTTCCACCACCGCCGCCGTCCTCGCCAGCAGGTCGCCGACCGCCCGCAGCGCAAACCGCGCCACGTCTTCGTCGTCAGCACTGCCAAGCGAGAGAAGAAACGGCAGTGCCGTCGGAAGTATAGACTGCGGAAGGAGCGGAACCACATCGCGGGCGCGGTCGGCCACAGCCGCCGACACAATCCTCAGCAAAGCCACAGCATCAGATGCTGACGCAGCACTCGGCAGCTTGGTCAGCACCGCTGCCACCACCCGAGCACAGCTCAAAGACCAGGCCTTTCCCCGAGCCAGTCCCAGGAGACCGGCCATGCCCTGGACAATGCCCGCCATCGCCTGACCACCCTCCTCGCCAGTCATGGCCTCGGCCAGCTTCTCCAGCACCATCGGTGCAGCGTCAGCACAGCACCCAGCCAGTACTATCCCTCCGCCGCCTCCACCACCACTCCGACTGCTTCCGCCTGGCATTGCCTTGCCATTGGCTCGTGCCGGGGACGGTGGACAGACGGAGCCGGCTGCCGCAGCCCCAGGGCCACGCACCGCCGCTGCCACCGACACCGCGACCGAGGCAGACACGTTGCCGACACAGAGACCATAGCAGGTCCCTGAGCCCGAGCTTCCACCCATACCCTTTTTTCGTCCATTGCTTCGTCCGCCTCCACGTCGCCCACCTCGGTTCGCTTGCTTCCGCCCCTGGCTGTGCGACATGGTTCGGCGACGAGTGCTGTTGCGCGAAGCTTCCGGCTCGGCTAGCTGCTGGCGGCCGAATTGGGCGGGAGTCGGTCGACAGCAGCGGCTGGAAAAGGTCGTGGGAGCTGCACACTGGGTGCCCACTGGAGTGAGGCTAGAGTAGCAGTGGCATGAGATCGGGAGGGAGGAGGAGGAAGGGAGGATGGAATCAAAGGAAGACGTGATGGTGGGCTTGGGTGGAGTGGGTGCAAGTGGTGGTCGTGGGTGAGGGGAAGGGGAGAGAGCTGGCAAGAGATTTTTTGGGATGCAGAGAGGCTGATGGCCGTGGATCGTTGATAGCGGCGATTCTAGTGCGAAAGCCACCAGACCGTATGTCTTGCACTACAAAGCACTGTACAAAGAAGTAGGGGAGAGGTAAACGATGCGGCTGCTACACGTAGAACGAGATCTCGAGGCAGACACCTCGCAGATAGTCGGCAACTTTTTTCCCCAGTCTTGCCCACGCACAAGCATCTGCACTCCATTCTTCCTCTACGCACTCTGGTACACGCACACACACGCACACACACACACATACACAAATAAGCAGCATGCACATCCCCCTTGCTCCGACATATCCTTCACAACCTGGCTGGCTTTCTCGCGTGGATATACTCAACACGACTGCAACTAAAGCACACTGTCATTTTGTGATCAGCGCGTCTGAATGTGAGGCGCGTTAAAGACCCAGAGCCCCCCCCCCCCCCCACACACACGTGTGTTTACCCACAACCATCACTTGGACTTGGACTTGCGCTTGGAGAGGGCCTTGAGGTACTTGCCTAGCGAGGCCTGGACCGGATCCGAGAGGACAAGGGCAAGGAAGCGGCCGAGATCGGCCTCGCGGCCCTCCTGGGTGCCGAGGGTGGCGCGGACGGTGGCCTCGCGCATCATGGCCTTGGTCATCGCGCGAGCCTGCGCCGGGATAGCAATGTACTGAGCCAGGGTGGCGTGGGCGGTCTCGACAACGTCGGCGGTCGGGACAAGGTCGTCGACGAGGCCGATGGCAAGGGCGTCGTCGGCGGAGAGCATCGAGCCGAGGCAGAGGTGGCGCTCGGCATTGCGCTGGCCCATGAGGTCGGCGTAGGGCCGGGCAAACCACGGCGGGGCGACGATGCCAAGCTGGGTCTCGTTGAGGCCGATGGCAAAGCCACCGTCGTTGCCCATGACCCGATGGTCGGTGCAGATGGCAAGGAGGCAGCCGCCAGCTGGTGCGTGACCGTTGATGGCAGAGACAACGGGCTTGGGGCAGGTGTACATGTTGAGCCACGCGTCCTGCACCGCCCGCCAGAACACGGTAGCCGACTCCTGATCGGCGCCGTACATGGCAGTGATGTCCAGGCCTGCGCAGAAGATTCCCGGCTTGGCTGCGGTGAGCACGATGCCCTTGACCTCATCGTCCGCCATCGCGCTCTTCATAGCCTCGTTGATCGCGTTCAGCATCTCCAGCGACAGCGCATTGGCCGGCGGTCCGTCCAAGGCCACCCGAGCCTGCCCGCCCTCCACCACCGTCGTCACCAGCGTCCGTCCCGTAGCTCCCGCAACTGCAGCAGCCCCATAACGGCCCAGAATAGCCTGTCCCGCAACTCGTCCCGTCAGCATACTTGGTCTTTAGTCGCCAGATAGAGCGTGAGAGTGAGGTATGCCTCTCACTGCACCGTCGGCCCACAAACTGTTCCGCTGAAGCCCACCAAAGCGGACGCGAGTGGCCACCACTGCTGCCCGCTGCCCGCTACCCGCTACCATCGATCACACGGATGCAGTGGTCTCACCCGCGAGGATAGCTCGGCCCGTGCAATCTCCTCGCCCATGTCATCATCCTCCCCGAGCAACCATCCTCCCCAAGCAACCATCCTCCCCGAGCAACCATCCTCCCCGAGCAACCATCCTGCCCATGTTATCATCCTGCCCATGTCATCATCCCGTCCGAGCAAGCTTCTCGCCCAACCCACAGTCTCCCGGCGGCAGCTGGTGACCATGGACAAGTCCACCAACAAGGAGGAGCAGAGGCAGAGGCAGTATGGCACAGACTCCTCTCCAAGTGACCGAGTGACAGGATGCTGCGGCTGCATGTGCTGAGCTCGGCAACAAGGCGGTGTGTGACTGGATGGCTGGGTGTGGACGCAGGAGGGGCAGCGCGGACAAGCTGGCTGACGCGCAACGCACTGGTCGCCAGGAGCATGGCGGCCACGCCGCCTGGCGAGGGAGAAGAGTACATGGACATGAACACGTACCACGCAGTGGCCGACGAGACACTGGAGATGGTTCAAGAAGCCATCGAGACTGTGTGCGATGAGCTCGGGCTGGCTGATGTCGACTCAGCGCTCTCGCAAGGCGTGCTGAACGTGGCCTTTGAAGACGGTGATGCCGTCTTTGTCCTTAACAAGCAGACGCCCAACCAACAGATCTGGCTCTCCTCACCCATCTCTGGGCCCATGCGGTTCAACTACGACGTCGACGCCGCTCTCTGGCGCCACTGGCGGACCGGCCACGAGTTGGCCAACCTCCTCCGCCAAGAGTTCTCCCAACTTGCTTCCCAGTCGGCCGGCAAGGACGTCATTGTTGACCTTGATCTTGGCGATCTCCACACCCACCACCTGATCTAACCCATCCACCCCGTCCACCCCTCCCACCCTGCCCACGCTCGCTCGCCCGTCCCGATCCCTCCGATCGCCCGCACGCCAATCCCCCACATCTCAACCCCCCCCCCCCCCCCCGCCATCAAACCGATCCCGATCTGACCATCGTCATCCCTTCCTCCCTCGCCGGCCAGCAGCGGCCGCCACTCGCATCGAAGCCACCACCGCTTCCTCCACAGCGCCCCCCCCCCCCCCTCTTTCAAGTCAACCTCTGACACTGCTCTCTACCACCGCAGACGAATGGACGCCGACAGCGTTGTGGAGGCCGTGCTTGCGGCGTCTGCGCCCGAGACTCCTCGTGAGGCCCGTGAGCGCGCTAACGCGTTCATTGTCAGCTTCCAGGACACACCTGGTGCCGCGGGTATGGCACCTCTGCTGCTGAGCCATACGGCCGAGCCCGTCCGTCTCTTTGGCCTCACCCTCCTCAACGCCACAATCTCCTACTCATGGGCTTCCATCGACCAGCAACAGCAGTCACAGCTCAAGGACATGTCCATTGCCCTCATCTCCGGTATGCTCTCTCCCTGCCTTCCCCCCCTTCCTCCCCGCCACTGTGTGTCCGCCACTGTGTGTCTGCCGCCGTGATCAACCCGTTTGATCAAACCCCTGGATGTGCGACCTTTTCCTGTCCCGTCCCCCCCCCCCCCCCTCACCCCCCCTCCCTCCCCAACACAGGCGAGCTTCTGGAAGCGACGACGCCTGCACTGAAGCGCAAGGCGGTGAGTGTTGCGGCGGACATTGCGGTGTACGAGTGGCCGCACAACTGGGAGGGTCTGACCCAGTTCATCTACTCGCTCGCTACCGAGTCGGGCGAGGCCGAGGCCATGGAGCGGGCCGTCCTAGCCTTTGGTGCCCTTGGCGAGACCATCGGTCTGCTCTCGGGCCTCAATGCCAACCTTGATCGGATCACTACCTCGCGGGCTAAGCAGTTGAACAACTCGTTCGGCCTCCAGGTTCCGGATCTGTACCAGTTTGCTGTCTCGGTGCTCGAGGCCCAGCTCGGCGGCGCCAGCGCTGGCGACCAAGCTGCAGCCGCCTGTGTCGTCGCTGCCCTGGACCTCTTCCGGGTCATGTTCCAGTACTACTCGGTTGAGCCTCTGAGCAGCGAGATCGGCGAGCAGGTGGTAGCCTTCCTTGTCTCGGGCCTCTCGTCGCCGTTCCGGACGGACGTGCTGCGTGCGCTGCAGGCGCTGCTGCTGCGCAACCACGTGACCGGTGAGGGTGGCGTCCTGCGCCTCTTTGACGGCCTCCGCGAGCTGTTTGCTGCGCTAGTGGCGTCGAACGAGGCCATCTCCGAGGCAACCATCTCGGCCGAGCACGACTTCCAGGTCCAGTTTGTCGACGTCCTTGTCTCGCTCGGCCTGTTTGCGCTCCGGGCCGCGCGGCGCCTCGGCTCGTCGACCAAGGCCGAGCTCAATGCCATGCCTTCGTCGTTTGGCCTCTACATCCAGAACTGTGTCGAGGTGGCGCTCACCCACCCGTCGCTCAGGGTCCAGGCCGCGCTCATGCCGCTCTGGATCTCATTCCTCCGCGAGCCGCTCCTCGAGCCCGAGGCCATGAGCTCGCTCCTCACCGCCCTACTCGAGCTAGCCACCAACCTGCTGACGCTGTCGAACCCGCTGCTGGGTGAGGCGCCAAACGCCACCATCGCCACCCTCGACTTTGACTCGGAGGACGAGGTGAAGAAGGAGGTGCGCCGGATCCGCCGGCGCGGGCAGGCGTTGATGCGTGCCATCACCCGGCTCGACGGCCCGCTCGCTATCGACTACACTGCCCAGTTTATCCAGTACGTCTTTGAGGGCGTCCTGCCCGAGTCGGGCCACAACGACGGCGCCAACTGCTCTAACGATCACCCGGCGTGGATTGCGCTCAACGGCGCAGGCCTCATGCTTGGCTCGGTCCTCTCCGCGATCTCGCAGCACTACCTCCGGCCGCTGGTCGCCGCTACCGGCGGCGCCGAGACCGAGGCTCGCCTCCTCGCCGTCATGTCCGAGTCGCAGGTCCGGTCGTATCACGCCGATTCGGCGTCCGAGGCCCAGGCCCGTAACTCCGTGGTCGACACCCTCGAAGGCTTGCTCCTTGGCGTCCTTGCCTTTTCGTCGACGTCGCCGCACATAGCCGGCCGCCACCTGGCCCTGCTCGAGGCCTTTGCGCCGTATCTCTCGATCCACACTTCGTCGGTCTCGGCGGTCTTTGAGCACTGCCTGCAGTTCCTCACCTTCCGGCTCCCGGCCGAGGAGTCAGTCTCGCTCGACGAGCTGTCCGGAACGACGACCCAGCTCCGCGACCGCGCGGTTCACGCGCTTGTTGCGCTTGCCATCGACGCGGGCAAGCCGCTCCTGCACCACCTCAGCTCGCTGTGGGAGGTGACGTCGCGTATGCGCGAGGCCGGCCTGCTCCGGCGGGCCGAGCTCATCGGCCTCTATCGCGCGGTCCTGTTTATCCTCTCCAAGTCTGCCGACGGCGAGCTGCAGACCCGGGTCATCAACTCGATTCTGGACCCGATTCTCACCGAGTGGTCGTCGGACGAGCTGGGCGAGGTCATGGGCTCGGGTGCTGCGCTAGCTAGTGCGCTCGGGCTTGACGGCTCGCTCTCCGAAGCGTACGGCTCCGGCGTGGCGCCGTTTGGCACCTCGGCGGCGCTCACCATCCGTGAGCGGATCCACTTTCTGCTTGCGGTCATGAAGGCAGTGGCCATGCTCTCCACCAACTGGCAAGTCTCGGCGCTCGCGCCGTATCACCAGGTCATTCTCGGCCCGCTCTTCTCGGTCATTTCGGCGCTCAACGAGTTCTACACGCCCAACGTCGCCGGCCAGCTGCCCGAGGCATACGGCGAACTGCTGACGATCCTGGAGGACGCGCACGCTGACGACTCGAACGAGTCCAAGCTGGGCTCGCTCTCGCTCCTCGAGTCGCCCAAGGAGCAGCTGGTCATCATGAAGTGGTGGCTCGTCAACACCCACCAGGAGGCGCTGTCGCTGTTGGCATGCCTCATGCGGTCGTCGTCGTTCTTCGAGGTGCCCGGCGTGGGCGAGGCCCTGCTCTCGACCGTCTTTTCCAACATTGACAACATCCCGGTCGCCGTCCTCTGCACCCTCATCTCGGACGTGATGGCCACGCTGCGGCGTAAGGCGCCCGACGAGCTCAAGCCCGACATTCTCTTCCCGGTCATCAAGCCGTTCATCGAGTTTGTGCAGTCGCGGCTCGACACGGCGTGGGTGGCGCTTGCGTCGGACTCGGGCCGCGAGTCGGCCGAGGACGCCAAGGCCGAGATTCAGATGGAGAACGAGCTGCGCAAGGCAACGCTTGCCTTTGCCTCCTTCCTCCGCGGCCTCTCGTTCCGCCTAGCAACCGTCGGATCGACCGAGGTGGACGCGCCACTCGAGGCTCAGTTCCTGGCCTCGAACCTCGCGTCCGAGTTTGCCAGCGCCGCCCTCAACCTCCTCAAGTGGCCGCTGCCGGCCTCGATGATTATCGGCTTCCTGCTCTGTGAGCGCATGGTGCCCATGTTCTCTGCAGACGGCGAGTTCTGCCAGTTCCTCGCCTCGGAACTCCTCCCCGCCATGCTTCACAGCGCTACGCTTGTCGAGGACGAGACCCACATCCGCAAGGTTGTCGACGCCATCCACCTTGTCTACTGCACCCTTGGCGAGAAGATGGACGACATGGATCCGCTCCGCTCGGTCTTTCTTCAGCTCAACGGCGTAACCCCGACGCGCTCGCCGAGCTCGAGGCCGCCATCGCCTCGGGCCAGCTCACCCTCCGCGGTCAGGCCACCATGTGGCGCAAGCTCTTGTCCCAGATCCTCTCCTCCAACATCACCTCTGCCCTCCACAAGAAGGGCGGCTTTCTGGTGGATGCGTTGTGAGTGCGAGTGTAAACGGTATGGTCCGATTTGCCGCGTGCGGGAGGGGGGGTGTTTGGGGGGGGTGTTGGAGGGGGGGTGAGGGGGCGAGTTAGTACC